GGCTCAAACTCCTACATCACCAATTAACTTTTCCTGGACTGGAACTGGATTATTTTCCTACAAGACAATCAGTGACAGGAGAGAAACTGCTTTTTGCCCGCTTCAGGGAAGTCTGTGTTGACGGGTCTACTCCAGCCCCTGCCCAGAAGGCATTTTTCCTGACAAATCCCTTAACTGAGCTGATGGAGTCACTGGGAGAAGCGATAACCCAGCTTCTGCTGGTTACTAACCCAGCCCGAGGTCAGGGCTCCCTGGCACGGCGCTGTGGTGCCCAATGCGGGCAAGGAAGGGGAGAGGGAGGACACTCCACACCTGCAGAGCTCCAAGATACCTCAAAGAGCTCAGGACTATACGGGATACACACAACCTTTTCCCTCTGCCGTCACCTCACTGGTTTTAGAGGATACAGAACCCTACTTAAAATGCAGTTAACTGTAGATAATCCTGCAATTCTGAAGCAGACGGCTCAGTCACTCACTTGCCTGAACGCGATGACAGAGCTCCACTCCGCTCCGTGAGCTCCCATCTCCTGCATGGTCCGTGCTGCCATTGTGTCGCTTGTACAGTCCTGCACAACCAGCTTCAGTGCCAGCAGCTTACAGGGTGGAGCAGAAATTAGGAATTCCTACTAGAAAAGAAAGATACTTGCAGGAAGGTGAGACAAAAAATAAATAAAAATCCTCAGTCAACACAAAAGGTAAACGTGTAAATATTAGGAGTACTCATTATAAAAAGGCAGAGCAGAACCTGTTTGCTGCCTGACCCCCCATTTATTTCTTGCAGCATTTATTCCAAATACTAAGGAAAACTTCGTTCTCACTGTTGGAAAAGAAAAGAAAAAGGAGAGAGAGAGAGAAGAAAGGAAGCATTGCCATGGATGTAACTATGAATTCCTATCCCACTAACAGGAGTTTTACTGGTTTTACACACCGCTCCTCAGAAGTCATCCACGATGCACGAGTCCCGAGTCACATGCAGAGAAAAGCCAGCAAGTGTAATTAACCTGCTGAATTCACACACAGAATCTGGAAACTGTGAAAATACACGAGATGCTTTTTTGGAAGGGAAAAAAAAAACGGAAACATCATCATTCAACATACTGTATTTGGGGTTGTAAAAGCTGCTTCTCATTATTTTATTTAGAAAAAAAAATAAAAGTGTGAACCTTAAGTAACAAAAACGTCCTTTGCACAGGAAAAATAATGTGGAGTTGATACAGGCACCTCTCAAAACCAGGCACCAAAACCCCGCAGAACATAAAGATCCGATCCTACGGGGCTGCCGCTGCAACCGCTCACGCGATGCTGAGGAACGATGACAGAACTTGACCACATCCAATTCTCTGAAATCAGTTCACATAGGCACCGACACAGGTAATGTTCTCCTTTAATGCTGAATGATTTCATAATGAAGCAGAAACATATAATGTATTCCATGCAACCAACCTCATTTATTGAAAAGTCCTAATTTTATTGCCTTGTTTAGTAACATGTTTGTTCAACAAACTAATCTTTTTCATGAAGCAAAGCACAACTTTTTCTTATAAATAGTATAAATTATTTTATTTACAGAAACTTGTTACAAAACAAATAGACTATATATTTATTTTTCTTTTAAATATCCAAAGTAATTTTTCTATCCCATGACATTTGTTCATGTACTATACAGCAGCCAACACAGAGTTCAGCTGATCAGATGCTCTTGATTATGTATACAAATTATCAAACTATTCACACATTTTACACAGGAGATTGCTTTTAGAACCAGGCTCAACACCGAGCAAGATGCTTTCAAGGCCTACATTCACAATGACATTATGTAGTGCTCATTTTAAAATTATCTTTAAAACGTAAAATATCTTGCACAAAAGGTAAAAATGATTATTTTCTGCTGAACAGTGAAACATTTAAGAATCTTCCCAAGCCCAATTCCCTCCTCCAGGACAGAATGAGTGAAAGACGAGAGAGAGAGATTCCTTGGCAAGAGAACTCTTACAGGAAGACAACTGCCTTAGAAATGTCATTTGGAAATCACAACTTTATTTTTATATAGTTTTAAGAGGTACTTACTTGGGTTTTTTTGTTTGTTTTGTTTTCCTGGAATACCAACTATTTTGAACATTTCCTAAATTATTTCATTTATGAATACCTCCCCCCTTTCCCAAAATGAGACAGTCAAATAAACTGCTGGTTAAAACCGTATTTCAAACCCTTGGCATTATATTAAATATGAGTTATCAATGGGATTGTTCCAACACAAGGTATTCTAATTAAAAGATTTTACAAAAGTTACCAGCATAATTCACTTTCTTTTGTCAACTCATCTCATTAATTTCAGAAAATATATATGTGTGTGTGTACATATATATACATATATATAGACACACGCACACATACATATATATATACGCACACGTATATTAGATAGAGGTGGAAAAAGCAAGCTCCAAAATTTCAACTGAACATTCAAGTCTTTTAAGGAGAAGCTGTCTAAACAGTCCAAGCTTAAAACTAGTTATATCAGGCACTTTCAGTTTTTCCATTAGTTTTAAACCACGAGACCCACACAAA